TTTTTAATTTTTTTTATTATAATTTAATTTAAGTTTAATAACGAAATAATTTATTTTTGGTTTAGTAATATAATATTTTATAAATATAATAATTAAGTATTCTGTTAAAACAATTATATTTTAGATTTTTTTATATTTAAAATTAGATGTTTATCCTGTATTTGATTATGTTTATCTGCAGTTAGTTACACGAACTTAGATACGGAGCTTTAATAAGTTGTACTTACGCACAATCTACTTGAATCTTGAGTTTTAAGTAATATGCATTAATAAACAGTATTTTACGCATAAAAAGTGGTTTTTAAGAGTTTTTGTCGAATGCTTTATAATATAGTATAGATTGGCAATCAAATACAAACCTATTTATTTATTATTTATTGTAAATGAGTGAAACATTACACATAGTATGCCAGGATGAATTCTCCCATTGCTACTTCTGAAAAAGAATCAGCAAGTTGATGGATCATTGTTCTGATGATAAAAGATAATAAAACGTTTTTCTATTTCGCATGATGAGTGGAAGATCAAAGAAATATAAAAGAATAACAAGAAAAAAAATAGAATCAAATAGTCGTACGGGTATCTTTTATGCATTGCATACGGCTTTACAATAAAATTGACACTTACCTTCCATCAAAGAAAGAAAAAAATAGGATCGATCAGATTCCGATAGGTAAATGATCAACTTACCACCCTTCCTTTCGGAGGAATTCAAAAATATTATGATGGCTCCGTTTGCTTTATATATTTACTAGTTTTGTGCAGCGTGCGTTGCACGGTGACGATAATTTTTTTTAAAAAAAATCAAACTAATGTTGAAATATTATAATGTCAGTTCATACATATATCATTTTTTTTATTATAGTTATAAATATAATGATTAATTTATTGACTTTCATATTTTTTTTGTTCATGTTATCATCCTCACAATTGTTGATATGTTACGATCAATCATTCTAATAGATAACTAAAACTTTAAACTATCAYTAAATAAATCTCTTCAGAAATATTAAACATGACACTCTTTTTACCGAATATATAAAAAATTAAATTTTTTTATTTTTCATACAAAGTCTACACATACAAAAACCATATGAATATCACATTTTATTTGTTTTCAAATAAATAAATACATAAACATCATTTTAAGTGTTTGTTTAAATAATATAAATATAAAATATAACAATTCTTAC